TATTTATATGTTATTTTTTATAGGGACTATGCATGAATGTATAAATGCAACATGTTTGTGTGTGTTTGTGTAGTATGTACCAAAATCGCCCCTCCATTAATCTATACGAAATCATATAATTAGTATATAGTTTATCCAATCTGTATGTAAGAGGTTGGCACATATCCTTCTTCGTTGCCCTTCCGTACTCGAGTCCAACCATCTCCACTGTCGTACTCCATAACATCATATGTCTCATCAGCATGTAAACTCAATGATGATCCCTCCGTGGCTATGAGAAAGCAAATTTTGTAGATAATTTATTAATTTTAAACTAAATACAACATGGGGGAAAAAATCAGTAAAGTTCAGTAACGTATATTGTAACTGGAGCCAAAAATATGGAGCAGTGTGGAATTATTTTAAAAACATTAGACTTGCATTCTTGACAAGGCCTTTTACCTATGTTTTAAGGAGCATAAATGGGTACCCGGTTCACTACTGGGGAGGAAAACAACGGCGTGGAAAGGAAGTGGCCACTCTACCACACAATGCTGAGGCTTAGTACGATGGGCTAACAGCTCATTCCCCTACATTCAGTTATAAATACGGGACTACCTTTACCCTTTATTATGTTAACTAATATAATATGTGGCCAAATTTTAATTGCATCTGAAAATGAGTTACAATTTTGTTATTTTTTAAAATAACATATGCACTATGTTTGCATTCAGCATTTTGCTTACTGTGTATTATAATAAGTTAATAATTATTAGTTAAGATCTGACAGAAATAATACTGTTTTTATATTCTTTTACATAAGATCCTTTAATTGGCTAATAATCTCTTCATTTATTCATAGAAACCAATCTGTAAACCAATTTGTTTCGCACATATACAGACCAAATTATTATTATAACATTTACCTTCAAAGGAGTAGAGTGCAAGACAAGTGCATAAAACAGTCTCATCAATAAATTCGTCATCTTCAAACGTACTTTCAGGACGTATGTTCTGGATATCCACACTGCAAGATAAATTAATTTGTCAGTAAAAAAATGTGTCATGAAACTGACAAAATCAGTTACAATCCCATTTCACTTATTTTTTTTTAAATAATAAAGTTAATGTAATTTTGTTAATTGTTAATGTATTTTTTAATAATGATGTG